ATATATATATATACACACACACATATATACATATATATACATCAACTCCTAATTTCATGATGCACTTGAGTGAATTAATTTTTCCTTAAGTACAAATATATTTATGACTTGATATTGTAAAATACAGCTTTGATATCATTTGAAAGTGTGACTGCAGATAAAATATATATAAATGTAGACAGAAATTTGATCATTTATTCTATGGAATAGGTCCACTAATTAGTGTCTGTAATGTTTATCATACACATTAATTAGTATATGGGTAAAAAAAGAAACAAAAATGTTATATTTAACACCTGAACAACATATATGAAGTTTTAGAAAAAACATTATAAGGTATAAAATCTGCTTAATACGGAAAAACAAATAATAAAGGACTATTTCAATGATACATGATAACGGTGAACTGGAGATCATTAATGGAAAACTGCCCTTGGCTCTCTAACATGTTAACGCTGCCTCATCAATTTTGTAAAGGAGGGTTCTTTAATGCTTGCTACTCTTCCTTCTGCTATTGATGGCCTTCACTGTCATTCAGTCACTTCCAATCCTTTCAGACTACTGATTTTTCTTCCTCCTTATGTGGCTCATTTCCCAAGGCTTAGTTCCTGGCCCTTCTTTATTCCCTCTTCCTTGCCAATTTAATGGCTTCGACTATCATCTGGTATATGAATGATTCATTCATCATCTCCTTTCGCCCCAGCTATTCTGAATACCACTACTTGGTACCTCAAATTTAATATGGCTCCAGCTTAACTCAACATACAGTACTGTCTTATTTTAAAATATATATATATTTATTGATTTCAGAGAGGAATGGAGGAAAGAGAGATAGAAACATCAATAATGAGAATTATCGATTGGCTGCCTCCTGCATGCACTATACTGTAGATCGAGCCAGCAACCCGGGCATGTGCCCTGACTGGGAATCGAACCATGACCTGGTCTTTAGGTCAACGCTCAACCACTGAGCAATGCTGGCTGGGCTACAGTACTATCTTTTAAATCAGCTCCTCCTCCAGTGTCACCCAAGGCCATTGGTAACTCATTCTTCTCCATTACCTGATCCTATGTGGCCTAATTTTAAATACCTCCTACATTTATCTTCTTCTGTTTTGTTACTATCATAATCCAAGTAATAATCATTATCTTGCCTAAACTACTACCCTGGCCACTGTTGCTCTGTCAATGGTAAAAGTTTAAAAGCCCCTAGCCTAAAGTTCATGATATGAACTCACCTACCCCTCTGGCCTTATTTCTAGAGTCAAACCACAAGAACCACTAATAGTTCCTTTATTGTGCCTTTGGTCATGTTCCTCCTCTGCAAATGTAATAGCTATGGGACCCTAAGTAATCTACTCTACCTATCTATACCTCAATTTCCTCATTTTTATAATCAAAATAATAGGACCTAACTCATGATACAACACTAGGAGGATTAAATGTGATAATTATGTTGAAGTGGTTTACTGTCCAGCTCAAAATAATCAGTAAGCAAGTGAAAGCCAGCATTCACCATCATTAGAGGTCTGGTATCAGCCAACATCTTCTTTGTGAAGTCTGCTATTTTCCTCATGTGCCTGAGACTGTTACTGATTTATCCCAATATCTTTTCTTTCCTTCTTTGGAACCTTGATTTAGTCAAGAATGAGTATGTTAGAAAAAACATTTTTTAGCCTTCCTTGGAAGTAGAGGTGGCCCTGTGATAATGTTCTGGCTAGTGAAATTTACCTAAGTCATTGGGTGGAGTGTCTGGGAATGCTCCTTAAAAGGGAGCAAACCAGTTGGCAAGCATCTTCTGCCCTTTGTCCTTCCTCCTATCTGGAATGTGGATGTAATTAATAGTGCTCCAGGCATCATCTTGGATGTATGAAGAAAAGGGAGTGAAAAGATAGGAGCTAGATTTCTGATATTGTGGAGTTGTTGAACAAGCCTTGGACTGTCTGTCTGTCTGTCTGTCTCTCTCTCTCTCTCTCTCTCTATATATATATATAGACTGCTTTTATGGAGGGTTGGGGGAGGTGCTAAATAAATAAATAAAACTCCAAGTCATTTAAGGCATTATTATTTGAAACTTTTTTCTCATAACTGACTTTTGGCTTTTTTGTTACTGTATCTTGATTACTACCTGATATGCTTCAGGTGAAAGTAATCTCTTCTTTCTTGGAATTTCTATAGCACTTCATTTGTTTTGCTCTCATAAGTACAATCACCTTTTCTATTAGACCAATGGTTCTCAACCTTCTGGCCCTTTAAATGCAGTTCCTCATGTTGTGACCCAACCATAAAATTATTTTCGTTGCTACTTCATAACTGTAATATTGCTACTGTTATGAATCGTAATGTAAATATCTGATCTGCAGGATGCTCTTAGGTGACCCCTGTGAAAGGGCCGTTCGACCGCCAAAGGGGTCGCGACCCAGAGGTTGAGAACCGCTGTATTAGACTATGATAGACTATATCAGATTGGTCTTAGTTCATGGCACCCTGCTTAGCACAGTGCCTTCATATAGGTAAAACTTAATACACAAAAGCATGTTGTAAACTGCAAAATAAATAAACAAACAAATAAACCACATAATCTTATTATCCAATCACTCTACGAAAGACAGAGATAGAAAAATGGTAACATTTTAAACTCTGATTAAGATAAACGTATTTTTCTGAATCACCCAGTATGTTATAGATACCAAATATTTTCAGATTTGATCAAATATACCTATACATATAAAGTTATTACTAAAAATAATTTCCCCCTAATTTGAAATCCTGGTATTCAACTAGCTAGCTATAGAATTCACATGTACTACAGTCTGCAAGAGGTTATTCAAAATATCTTTATATTTTTTAAATCTTCAGCCAAGGATATTTTCTCCACTGATCTTTTTTTAGAAGCGTTAAATACTTTTTATTTGATATTATACATCAGGGGTCCTCAAACTTTTTAAACAGGGGGCCAGTTCACTGTCCCTCAGACCGTTGGAGGGCCGGACTATAGTTTAAAAAAAAACTATGAACAAATTCCTATGCACACAGCAGCGGCAAAAATACCTGGCGGGCCGGATAAATGTTTTCAGCGGGCAGCATGTGGCCCGCGGGCCGTAGTTTGAGGACCCCTGTTATACATAAACCACACTAAAATGTCTTTCATTCAATAAAAGACAATAGTTTGGGTACAGGGAATTTTATTAAATTGGCATAGTTTTGATCAAAAAGATAAAATGGTCACTACCAGTTTATCTGCAGCCCTTGCCTTTTAACAGACTAATGAACACAGCTTGAAACACAAGCAAGTCTTACAGTTCTAAGAGACAGTGAAGGGATTTCCTCAGAATTTAAACATATTAACACAACCAATTATATAAATCTAAATATAAGCCAATCTCCTATAGGTTTTGAGATGGCATTCACCACCTCTGTGAAAAGTTAAACATTATGAATCAAGTCCAATCATATTTTTAGAAAAGGGCAGTGATAGCGCTTTCTGAACCAAAATTACCATCAAAGCTCAAAAAGCTGACCATATTCATTTAACCACAAGCCAATCTTATTTAAATCAGGACTGCCCCAAAGAAATGTTCTATTAGCCATTCATGATCTGAATTGTGGTGTATGAGATCAACTTAAAGGTGGTACACATAAAAAAAATCATGAGACATTTGTAATAAATAAGGCAGTGGCCAACTATTACTCAGTAGCTTTTTTGAGATAAGCTATCAAGTCTGCCCTTTCTACACTCTTCTTAATGTCAGCAAAGATCGTTTTTATTCTAGGGATGTACTTCTTGGGATTCTCCAAATACTCCATCAGTGTAGCATCTCCCCAGGTGAGACCTTGTTCTTGTTGGCCTTTGTTCTTTCTTTCTGTGTAAGAAAATCCAGGGGCCTGACCTGTCTTTTGCCCAAATAGACCATGGAGATTTGGCCCAGGCTTGTGTTTGCCTCCCTTTTCCACAGTATGGCACTGGGCACACTTCTGGACAAAAATCTTCTTGCCCTTTTCAACATCACCCATTTTTAAATCGATCGTTAGTCACGTGCAACACAGAGGTTCCCACTTGCAAGCCAGATGTCACACTCTGTAACTCCACTGATTTTTAGAGAGAATGGAAGAGAGGGAAGGAGGAAGGGGGGGAGAGAGACACACACACACACACACACACACACACCAATACGAGAGAGACACATCAATTGGTTGCCTCCTGCAAGTGCCCCAACCAAGGTTGGGGATCGAACCTGCAACCTGTGTCCTTGACTGGGAATTGGGCCGACGCTCTAATCACTGAAACACAAGGCCAAAATATCTTTATATTTTAGATAAAAATATTGAAACTATGTATTACCATTTTAATAGCTCCACCTTTCCCACGATTCTTCACCAGTGTTATCACTCGTATTTTGTCACTTCCATATTTCTGGCAATATTTAAAAGCTACCTGTCAAATTATATAAAAGTGAGAAAAAATTAACTTGGATTACAAAATAGTAATATAAAGTGGGTTTCTTATTTTGGCTTAACCAGTTAACTGCCACACATCCAAAACAACCATCCCCACACGCCACGATATTTTGAATTTAATTAAAAAATAAATTTGCAATAAATATTATAAAAACTAATATTACAATTCGGGTGGTCTTGAATATTTTCAGTTGAAAATTCTCATGAAAAATGATTTTAAAGTTGGTCTATAGATGCTTATGGCAGGCAAATGGTTAAACACTGCTATTCCAGTTGCCTTCTTCCTGTGACTCGATTATACCCACCATGCATTTTGGTGGCCCAGGGAAGTTGCTGAATTCTTGGTGTAAAAATATGACACCAGGAATTGACCTACTAGGCTGAAGTTAGACTTCACTTCCCTGCAGAGGAACCAGTTGAACAGGCAGCTGCTGTCCCCTTATTATCTCAACTCTTCTACCTAAACTACTGAGCTTCCAGAAAAAAACAAAATCTATTTGCTAACATACACACTTGTGACCTAAGCCTACAATACTGCTCAATGACTTGTTCGTCAACAACCAATCTCAGTCCCCAGAGAGGTTGTTTGTATTCTAGACCATTTCCCTCAAATCTCACTTGAATTTCTCTTTCTCAGCAGATATCCATGCCATAACTTATCCTCTTCTGAATCTTCAATCTCTTCCTCTCTGCTGGCTCCACAGCTTTAAACATGCTTAAGACTCCAGCATACTAAAAACTTCCCTTTGATTTCACTATTACCTCAAGAAACTGTCAGTATTCTTTTATTTATAATCAAAGTCTTGAAATAGTGATCTACATCTATTTATATATTCTTTGATTTATAATCAAAGTCGTAAAATAATGATCTACATCTATAATATATATAAATCTATATACTGCCATCTACATCTCTTCCTCATGTTTAGTCTTCAAACCAGTGCAGTACGACTCATATCCTTTGCTTTTCCACATTAAATCTCTTAACGTTCTCTTCTTTCCATTTAACCTCCTAATCAATAGTACCCTCTCCTTTTGGCACTCAATTCCATAGGCAGTTGTGAAATTCTAATCTGGTGTTTGCCCTCTTGTCGTGCCAGCTTAAGATGCAGCTCAAACACCATGTCTTTTTCCTAGCTTCTATGCTCATCCTCACGTTCCCCTCCAGGAAAAAGGAAAGTGATTCTAATAGGTTCAAAAGGCATTTTCTCATTTAACTGTTACTTTACTCATCACATAATGTAACTGCAGACCTTTCCCACCAGGCGGTGGGCTACTTAAAGGCTAAACTTACTATTTCTAGTGCCTGATACATAGTCTAGAATTGATTAATCTCAATGAACAAATGCAGCCACAGTCCTTTGTACATACTCCTATTACAGCATTGTGGTAGGCACTGTTAGCTACTTACCCAACAAACAATGCCTCCTTCTTCCTTACTATTATGACTCCAGTCTTACATAGTGACAGTGTGTACAGGACTAGACAATGAATCATGATTGGTCTAAATCTGCTTTGCCAAGTACTTTCCCAGTCCTCCTTTCAGGTATGGGTTGTCATGTCACCAAGTTCTGGCTCATGAAGTCTACAGCAGGTCTGCTGGAGGATAAGGCTTCTGGTAAAGCTTTCTATTTCCAATTAAAAAGGACATAGGCACTCAAAGATAAATCTTAATGTTCTGGCTGTCTCTTACTGCTTAGGACATATGATAATTGGAGCTGTGATAATTTTGTGATGAGGGAGAATATGAGAATTGAAAAGCTGCTTTTCATCAGCTGGGCTGCTGCTGCTTCTGTAATCTCAGCAACAAGTGATGGATGTTTATTTTCTATGCCCTTCCTTCCATATAATTAAATTTCTGGAATAGTCTGTGTTTATGTTTTTCATGTCACATTCATTATTCAAAGTGCAGCACCTAATCTTCCTAAAGCAGATCCCATAATACTGACTGGCCTCTATGCCTTTGTTTACACTATATTTTCAATCTGAAAATACTATCCTCCATGTTCTTAGTCATAACCATCCTTAAAAGTTCAGTTCAAAAGTCACTTCTCTTTCTCTCAAATTCTTTACAATATTTTATTTTCAGCACTTTTTACCTGCAATACCGAATTTATGGGCATGTTAAACAACTGTCCTGAAGGCTTCTTGCACAAAGGAGTGGGCTCATGTATTTGTATGGTTCCTCCAGTGTCTAGAACTTCATGTATTCTTGGTATTTAACAAAAAATCATTACTGATGAATAATCAAGTAAACAGGAGTTTCCCTGTGTACTTATTGTAAGGAATGGCTATAGGGTTAAGCCTCAGACTGACCTGTTGGCAAAGTCACAAACAAGTCCCAGCTTAGAGGGCATAGCCCTCTTAGCATAATTAGGCTTGACCTTATGACACTCTCTAGATCTTATCTGGGTAGCTAATAGGCTGTGGGAGGTGCAGCAAGTGCTGCCAAAACAAGTGAAACAAGAACATTGTAACTATGGTGACCACTACCTTGTTTACGTATGGCTATAAAATAAAGGCTCAGCTTGCTGTCTGGATCTTTCTCTGTGGACTCAGCCAGGCACAGGAGATCCACCTAGACCCAGCTTATTCTCTTTGTCTTTTCTAAATCCTTCGACACCTCCCCTCAGGTTCACCAAACCCTTGGCTTGTGCTGACCCTTATTATAAGGTACACTAGAGGCCTGGTGCACAAAAATTTGTGCACTGGGGGGGGTGTCCCTCAGCCCGGCCTGTGCCTCTTGCAGTCTGGGACCCTCGGGGATGACCACCTGCTGGCTTAGGCCTGCTCCCCAGGGGATTGGGCCTAAGCTGGCAATCAGACATCCCTCTGGCAGCCTGGCAGCCCTCGGGGGATGTCCACTTGCCAGTGGCGAGCAGACCTAAGCTGCAGTCAGACATCCATAGCGCTGCTGAGGAGGCAGGAGAGGCTCCCACCACCACCGCTGTACTGGCAGCCATCAGCCTGGCTTGTGGCTGAGCAGAGCTCCCCCATGTGGGAGTGCACTGACCACCAGGGGGCAGCTCCTGCATTGAGCGACTGCCCCCTGGTGGTCAGTGTGTGTCATAGTGACCAGTCATTCCCAGTCTTTCTGCTGTTAGGGTCAGTTTGCATATTACCCTTTTACTATATAGGATAGAGGCCTGGTGCACGGGTGGGGACTGGCTGGTTTGCCTTGAAGGGTATCCCGGATCAGGGTGGGGGTCCCGCTTGGGTGCCTGGCCAGCCTGGGTGAGGGGCTGATGGCTGTTTGCAGCTGGTCACACCCCCTTCAGGGTGGGGGTCCCCACTGGGGTGCCTGGCCAGTCTGGGTGAGGGGCTGAGGGCTGTTTTCAGGCTGGCCAGTGACTGAAGCTCCCAGCCTCTCCTTTCTTTCTTTCTTTTTTTATTCTGGGATTTATTTACCTTCTATAATTGAAATATTGTTACCGTCACTGGCGCTCCCAGCTCTGAGGCCTCCGCTGGCTGAAAGCAGGTATCTGGGGTTTGTTTAGCTTCTATAATTGAAACATTGTTGCTTTTGGAGCTCAGAGCAGGGCCGCAGCAGGCGGGGAACCTTGGCTTCCTCCATCACTGGAGCAAGCAAACCTCATGTTCGCTTCAGCTGCGTGGCTGCTGGCCGCCATCTTGGTTGGCAGTTAATTTGCATATCACCCTGATCAGCCAATGGGAAGCGTAGCGGAGGTACGGTTAATTACCCTTTTTATCTTTTATTAGATAGGATTATGTTGCTATTTAACAAGAATATTAATAGCACCATAAATGAATCTTTTATGTGAAGCATTAATAATAAAAACACTTAAATGTTTAAAGAGTAATTTATCAGGATCACTTGCAAGATTTAATAAATGTACTACTGCAAAACTAGGTGGACCTAGGTCTGGCAACTACAGGTCTAAAAATGGAGGAATGAGAAGAGATAATACTCAAAAACACTGTTACCTCCTACAGGTAAATCTAGATGGGGGTATGACAAAGGACATATCTGATACTCAGTGGGGATAGGAAGGCATCTTCCTATTTAAATGACTGCATTAGAATCTGTCAGGCAAGGTGTAGCATAAAGAACAGAATCATGCTTAAAAAAAGAGGCACTATAAATTGACAGGCAAAGAGGGTTCCCCAGAGGCCAACGTGAACCATTGTTGTGCATGTTCTCTCCCATTTGGTGATCTTCAAAGCTTTCCTGGAATAGCAGGTATAGTTTCCAGCTTTCCATAAATAAAATCTCTCTGCTTCTTCTACTACCCATACTATAGCAATGGAGAGTATTTAGCAAAACTTTAGGGTCCTCTGATGAGAAAAACTAAGATTTTACACTTGCTAAATTATTCCATATTTTCTATCTACTGGCAATTCTAAAAGCAAGTTTACTTACCTTCGAAGTCTGGTCTTTGCTGCCATCATCTACTACTATCACCTCATAAGTAAAAGTAGGATCTTGTTTCTGTAAAAAGCAAAAATAACATACCACAATTTGGCATAACTGCCATAAAAAACTAAAAAAATTTAAAAAATAATTGTAGTGTTAATGTGTATATAAAGTAGTGAATAAACCACATAAAATAAAAAGGCCAGAACAAACAGGAGAGACCCTGGGTAGGAGTAGAGGGTGGATACTAAGTCTCTGTGAGCATCCTGCTCTTCTTGTGGCATGTCAGTGAAGGAGCCAGGTTCTTGTGGTGCCGAGTACATCTGTGAGATGCTACCAGGTGTATGAGAAAAAAGCCCAAGAGGTTTGAAGTCAGAGAGTGTAGATTCCAATTTGGATGCACTTCTTAGCCTGACGACCTTAGGCAAGTTAACATTTTTGGCCCATTTTCTCATTAAAAACAACAAAAAAATAAACCTAGTCTATGTGGCTGGTGTAAAAGAGGTAGTAGCCTCACCTACAATAAGACCTCAATTCTCTTTCTCTTTTCTTTAATTTTTGAGCATATAATACGAGCTCCTCTCTTTCGATGACTCTTCTATCTTCCCTTTACACACACCAAAAAAACCAAAGTAAATCAAAACAAGGAATTTTCTTTAAAAAGATTCAGCCACAAAGCTTATTTGTTTTCTTAAACTCTTCAAGGAGATTCCAACAGCAGCTGATGCCATAAAACAGTGGCACATATTACCTTTCTTTAGCAGGGAAAGAAGAGGAAAATACATGAGGGGGGACTCTTAAGAATAATAAAGAAATACAAAATAATTTTGCCTTAATTGTGTCTTTCAAATAAATTTATTAAAAAATCACAAAAGTGAAAGCAGCATTGTGCTACCATACAAAGTCTACAGGCACTCTATCACTCAATTTTATGTATAAAATCAGGCCAGAGAGGATAAAATGTAGGTAGGAGGGTACATAAGAAGAAATTGTCAGCTTTGCAGCTTGCTTTCAGGGTCACTACCTGCCTCTGG